TCTAAAATTAAGTATTATGATTTGGCAGAAACTAGACATTCCTAGGAAGGAAAAAATTTGTTTTGTGGTATGGAACCTGAGATCACAGAAAACCTGGATCCAGATCCCAGTTCCTGTCATTCCCCAGGTATAGGAATGTATTACAAGACTGAATTCTCTGAAGATGTCTCTGAACCTTTTTCTTTGAGATTTTTTATCCCTTCTTACTTAAACTGAAGACTTGGAGAGCAATATGGTTGAATAGCTCCCAAGTTGAATTAAGGATTACAATATCATCTATATACTATCCTCTATTCCTTAAGTCCTTTCCCAGGGGCCAAGGGAAAAAGTGAGCACTATCTCTAAGGCTGTGTAGGAGAACTGTCCAACTACACTGTTGTTTTTCCTTTGAAATGAGATTTTTCCCATTCAAAAAGAAACAGGATCTAGGAATCTAGATGAACAGAAAATGAAACATCTTTCAGGTCTAAAACTAAGTTCAACTTGTATCTCTTCAAATTTGGGAGAGGTTTGTACCTGAATCACTAGAGCACAAATTGTGAACAATTACAGACTTTTTAATGAGGTGGAGGCCTTCTACCATCTGATATGCTCCTGAAGGTTTTCATTATGAGGAGAATGGGGGTACTGAAGGAGACTAACAAGGCCACAGAAGGTCATGTTAGAGAAACCTGTCTCTGAGAGATTGGAGGCCTTCAAAGGACTCTGCTTTGAATACTGTGTCTGGTTGGGAAATTGGCTGGGATCCTTCAGTTTTATAACTTTGGTCATTGCTAAATTTGCTCTCCCAGATGTGCCACTATACTGTTGGCTAATTAAGTCAGGGAGTAGGTGTGGAGTAGTCCTAATTGATAAAATCTATTTTGATCTTTGCTGAAATTGGAGAACTATTCCAAAATTTACTAGCAAATCTCCTCCTGGTTACCAACAACTATTCTCCCCACTCCCAAGAGAATGAGAAAGTTAAATAAAGTGTTGGAAAGAATAAAAATACAGGAACAAAAGAAGCATGTTAGGGGCTGGTGAGATGGCTTAGTGGTCTAAAACACCTACTTAGAACAAGCTTAGCAAAGTACAGGGACCGCGGTTCAATCCCCCAGCACCACATGCCAGCCAGCCCCACCCCCTGATGGGCTGAGCTGGTCACACACACACACACACACACACACACACACACACACACACACACAAATAAATAAAAATTTTTTAAAAAGAAGCATGTTAAACTTTAAGTCACACACCAAACTTGAAAATTTTTCTTGAGCCTAGTGGACCTTAAAATGGTCTGTTATGTGACTGGTTAATACCTGATGCCCTGGCAACTTTTAACTGACTTGTACCCACGATGATTAACCAAAAACAGGGAATGGAAGAAAGAAAATGGGAAATAAACTTGAAGCCAATATTATCATTGGAATACCAGAATTAAATAAGATAGAGAAAGGAAGCAAGCTAGCATTAGAAGAGCAACTGTCTCCCAAGGGTGGAGAAGTACCTTTAGGCAGGACTCAGCAGGTAAGTTTAAGTCCCAGGAAGGCCAACCAGACATCTAAGAAGGCAAGAGTGGCCCTTCCCACAGTCTGTGAAACTCTCCTACTAGTCAGGAAAACACAGAGGTGACACACTTCCCTTCCCTTCTCCCACAGAGTGAGATACACTAGGAACTACCTATGGATCCATGAGAGAAATTTCTAAGTTTTCCAGCTCTCTTATTCCATCTCCCTGCCTCTCCCTAATAAGTAATGTCATAAAAATGTTAAAGGATTTGAGTTTTCTGCCAGACTAAAGCCTGTGTGGGGAAGAAGTTACGTGAAGGAGACTGGAGCACTCTTAGGGGGAGAGGTAGAACAAAAAGTAACCAAAGGGCTTTTTCTTGGTTTGAATCCATGGACTTCACCAGACCCTATGAGTAAGATCACTTCCTGGCTGAATGACCACTTGAATCTTCATGCTTAGGACATGGTCCCAGCCACCCCAGAAGAGGATTCATGGCATCAGGTGGATAAAGCTTCAGTTTTGGAAGAGATTAAGGGGGGTACACTTTCTCCAAAGGCCTTACCTCCTTACTGTGCTTATTGGCTTTTGTGTCCCAAAGGGGTTCTTTCCATGTTCTTGGTGTTCTGAATAAAGAATGATACAGGACATGTGGAAAAACTAGCAACAATTTACATTTATTGAAAGTGAGAAAGAAATAAGCTCTCCAGAGTGAAAGCAAGCCTCAGAGCAGCCACAAGGATAATAGCAGGTATCTTTTGTGTAAGAACTCTTAGATTGTTTCTCCCCTCATGCAAGCTAGGCATTTGGGGTAGTTGTCCTAACAGAATCTCACTTGACTTAATGTTAAATTTAAACTGTCCTATCGCATCAGATATAAATCGAGAACTGAGGGCACTTTCTGATTGGTCCCACATACAGACAGAGCTTGGGATCTACAGAGTCACTCTGGGCTCTGTGTACTCTACATACACTTTGAGTCTATTTGACTGACAATCTTCAGCGTTGTTTGACTGGGATGCACCACCCTAAAATTGCACCTCAATAGAACAATGCATGAAGCTATAAGAATGAAACCAAAGCCCATATCAGAGATCCCAGAAAGCTGGAAACTTCTAGAACATGTAATATCTGCCAAGAAAAGGTGATAGAAGAAAAACCACTCAGAGAGGCAGGGCACCTGGGCCACAACTGGCAAAGCCATAAGGGTTGAGCTGCCCTTTGGAACTCACATCTCACTACCATGTGCCCTACATACTGTATTGTAGCTGTAAGACTATGTACACTGTTGAGTTTTATTCTTGCTCTGGATTTGAGTCCTTCCTATTTCTATATTCCTCCCTTTTAGAATGAGAATATCTACCGTGGGCCATTGCATCTTGAAAGTATTTAACTTTATTTTTCATCTTTATAGGGTTTCATAGCTAAAAATTTGCATTTACTCTCAGGGGAGACTTTGGACATGGACCTTTGAGTAATGGCTGGAGTTGTTGAGACTTTGCCATCTCTTGGCTCTGATTTAAATGTATTTTGCATAATGACATGATCATGAGCCTTTTTGGTGCCAGGTGCCAAATGTTACTGCTTAAATCCAAATTGTCCTCCAAAAGTCTCCGGAGATGAAGCTTAAGGAAGATGATCAGACTATAGGGCCATTAAACCAATCAGATTAATCTACTGAGTTCATAGCTGAATGTGCTACTAGGAGCTGGGGTCTGATTGAAGAAGGTAGGTCAGTGGAGCATTATCTAGAAGAATACATCATTGTCTCTGGCTCTTCACTACTGTGTAGGTTTGTGCATGTGTGTGTGTGTGTATGCACACACACACACACACCCACAGCCACTCACACATGTATGCACATGTGCATGTTTCCCAGCTGCTATAAAGTGAGCAGGTTTCCTATGCCTTGCTCCTCTATCATTCCCTTTCTGCTTTTCAGCCAGTTAGCACTGACCTGAAAGTTCTGAAACTATAGGCATTAATAAGCCCTTCCCACTTTGAGTTGTATATGTCAGGTACTTTATCCCATTGATGGAAATGTGACTAATACAGACCACCAAGTTTCACAGGACCAGATGTGAGCATTTCGGAAAGTGATGTCATCATGCGCATGTTCACCCCGTGGATGGAACACTCTGTTGCTGAGTTAATAGCTGGATGAGCCATTAGGAGGGGGCCCGTGTCAGAGGAGAGGCTCCTGGGAAGCCCGTGGCAACTGAACCTTGCGCTGTCTCTTCCTGTCCCCTGTACCGAATGCTGTCAGGCAATAAGCAGCTTTCTCCTCTTGTGACCTCTGCCACAGTGCTGCTGCCTTGGCGCCAGCCAAGCATGGCCTGAAACTTGTGAAATCACGAGCCAAAATAAATACTTCATCCTTTAAATTGTGTATGGCAGATATATTGTCCCAGAGATTCGAATCTGAATAATACACTTTTACTCCACCACTTATGTTCCTTGCTTATCTCTTAAAATCTGAACATGTTTTAAATTCAGAACACACACAAAATAAAGTAAAAGTCAAAACACTGAAGTAGGCTTTCTTGTCTTGGGTCAAGAAGCTGTGTGTGCATGCAGGGGGCTTTGCATATGCATGGGCTATGGTTGAAAGGATTTCTCTCTTATGTTCCTCTGTTATCTCTGAAATGTTTGGGTTGTCTGGGCTCCCTAGTAAACAGCTTCTGCTTTTTATTATCTTGGTAATATTGATATTTTCTTTCTTAATTGGAGTACATCTCAATGTAACTCAAGAGGGTGGAGATGTCATTCAGTGGCAGAGCACTTACCTAGCATGTGTAAAACCCTGGACCCAGTACCCAGAACTGCAAAAAAAAAAAAAAAAAAAAAAAAAAAAAAAAAAAGAATGCAGCTCATAGCTCTTCCATCATTCTCTGATTCTTGGCTTTTCTTTGGTGATCAAAATAAAGGCACTGTGCCTGTGCTGAATCTCCTGGCCTGAGAGCTCCCTCCTAGCATTGGTTGAAGTTGCATACCACCACCAATACTAGAAACAGCAGAAAACAAGATCACTGGGGTCAAAAGCCTAGACAGAGAAGCTGGCAGAGATAATACACAGACTGGTTTCTTGTTCTGCTAACATATGTCCTAATGTCTGGTGTCACTTAGTCCCTAAGGAAACTTCTATTCCCTTGAAATGTTGCAACTACCTTCAGAATTTGGGTTACCTGGTAATGGAAGGCATTAGAACCAGGCATGAATTGGTTAGGATGTTCCAAGAGGAGTAGTGGGAAGTGCCTGTTGTAAGCTATGTAACAAAGGCTGAATCTCACAGCCTGAAAAGGTATTCTTGGTTCCTCTCATGCAAGCTACATCCCTCAGAATCATCAGACTGCTTCAGCTTCTGTAACACAGAGGCGACTGCTTTTTATCACATCCCACCCTTCTCAGGCCATAGCCAGGTGGACAGAGCTAGGAAAGACTTGATTAAACATTAATGCAGCTGTCATCATCACCCAAAAAGCAAATGCCCTAGAGCCAAGTTCCGGAGCTGTCTGGTGCTTCCTGGCTGAGGAACAGTGACCAACAGTCATGGTTAACTTTGCTCAGATTCTGGATGAAACAGGTGAATTCGGTCGTTTCCAGGCACAAATGATGATCCTGTTGTCTGTCCCCAACTTTCTTGCTGCCTTCCAGACCTTTGGCAACATGTTTATGGTCCAAGATGAGGCCCACCGCTGTTCAGTGGCCTGGGTCAAGAACCGTACTTTCAACTGGAGTGCTGCTGAGCAGCTGGCCCTGAGTGTGCCTCTGGATGCTGCAGGTAGGCCCAAGTCTTGCCTCATGTTTCGGCCACCCCCTGACAACGCCAGCCTGGAGGACATCCTCAGTCACCACTTCAATGAGACACAGTCTTGTGAAAGTGGATGGGATTATCCTGAGCATAAACCTCAATCCCTAATGAATGAGGTAAGGGTGGCCTTCAGTCCATCTGGACACTTGTTCTGGGCCTGACAGTTCTTCCTCCTGATCCTTTCCCTCCTGTCCTTGTGCCTGTAGGGTTTACTATTGATATGCCTATTTCTCCTTCTGCCAGCTGTCCAGCTTCTCTGTCCTGCCCATTGACCCACCTACTTCTCTATCATTTTCTGTCTCATTTCCCAACCCTTTTAGTTTTGCACACCCCTTGTCTCTCTCTTTGCTTGTCTCTGCTGTCTGCACAGTTGCCTGTCTTTTTCCCCTGCCTCCTGATGTTTTTCTCTTTTTGCCTTCTTTCTCTGTCCAACATTCACATTTGTCCATTCCCTGTTGTCTTTGAGCCTTATCTTGCATGTTTGCCTGGTTACTTGTCTTCCTGAGTTTTCCTTTCATGCTGTCTCTTTCCCTGTCCCTTTGTCTGATTTTCTGCCTGCTTGACTTCCAACTTTCCAGTTCTTTTCTAGGTCTCTATCTGCCTGCCCATGTCTGCGGTGCTGGGCAACATTCATTACTCTAGGGCTTGTCCTGCAGGAAACTAAGTATTGGTGCTACCAGGTTCATTCCACAGGAGAGACTCATGTAGATAAACAGAAAGATTCCTGTTCTAGCCACCCAGAGAAGAGAGGTCTTCTGAAAGTATCTGGCTCCATGCTGTTGCTGCTTCTTAGGTGATAGATTGAGGCTGGAGGGGGGACGTGACTTGGCCAGGACATCACAGTGGGCTGATGAGGATGCTGAGGTTCCCATGCAGGATTCCTGCTGTCTAGTTACCTGCAGCTGTAGGAAAAACTTAGGCAGTTCAAAGCAAACTGAGTACCATGGACTGTTAAGAGAATCTGTGCAACTTTCCCAATTTTTACGGTTTCAAATCTGGAGCCCAGCATGGCATGCGGTACTGGCGATCAGACCTGGGTCCTTGCACTTGCCAGGCAGGTGCTTAGGCCACAGAGCTGTCTCCACTGCTCAGCCTAGTGTTCTTACTGCCATGCTGGCCACCAGAAATCTGGTGAGGTGGAGCAATGCCTGTAATCCCTGCACTGGGGAGGCTGAGGCAGGAGAATTGCAATGAGTCAGAGCTGTGTAGTGAGACCCTGTACCAAAGGAATAAATTTTTAAAAAAAAAGAGCACTAGGCAACTTGATGTGCCTGGAATAGGGAAGGGCAGTTAAAAAACTGAATAGGAAGTTTTCAGGGATCTGAGACTTCTTCTGGTGTGCATCTATTTGTTTGTTTCTTTAGTCAGGTTTCTATTGCTGGAATAAAATACCTGCTATACACAAAATGGGAGAGAACTATTTTTGTCAGAGCTCTAGGGCTATGGTAGGCTGGCCCAAAGTACAAGATCAGGAGAGAAGGATGTGGCAGGGGCAAGCTGCTCACACTGGAGGCGTCAAACAGCAAGAAAGCCCCAGGGGGGAAAGCCAGGGACCAGACATAGTCCCACAAGTTATACCCGCATGACCCACCAAACACATCCTATTTGACATTAAAATTAGTGTCACAAATCCACCCCTTGACAACTTAATGCCCAAACACATATGTAATTTCCAGATAGAGACAATAAAAAGTCTTAATTCCACCTAACATGACTTCAGTGTCCTGCATATAACTGAAAATACTAAGTCTCAAAAGTCCCAGCAATGCTCAAAAGTCCAAGTCCAAAGTCTCCTCTGAAATTCAAGGAAATATTTAAACCCCTGTACAAAAAAATTTAAGTTATAAAATCTCAAAATACAATACCACAACATAAACATTTCCTTTAGAAGAGAAAAAGAATAGAAGCATAGAAAGGAATAGGGAGAAAACAAACCAAAACTCAGCAGCGCAGACATTAAGTTTTATAGTTTCATGTATATAATCTACAGCCAGTAGTGGTAAGATATGAATCCCAAAGGGCTTGGGAAATTCCATTTCTATGGCTTTGCCAAATGTAGGCTACTCATGAGGCTCTGTTCATTGCCTGCAACTGTCCTCAGCAGACAGTCTATTATTCCTAGCACCTCCACTTCCTGGAGTCCTCATTGCAGCCTCCCTCTCAGAACTTCACAGATCACTCTCTCAGGGACTCCCAGAAGAGATTGCGACTCTTTCATATATTGGCTGGCTCCCAGACCTCACTTCAAAATCTTGTTAGCCTCCTCCATAATATTATAATGCTCGGATTCATCCTGCCTCCAAAAACAGCATCACGTGGAAGATGCCAGTGCCAGCTGCCAACATAAACAGTAGCCAGTCCCCCTTGGACCATGCCTCCAGTGGCCTCCGGGTGGTTAAATGGCTGAATATAAGAAAAAAAAAAAAAAAAAAACTCCTCTGGCATCCCTGAGTGAGCAGAACACCGTGGCGCTAGCTTCCCAAAGCAAAGTCCTAAACAATTTTACACTCATTCAACCTGGAACCTGTTATGGTTGGAGTTGGCCAGTTCCTGAGGTTCCCTGCAGATATCACTCCTATTATTCTAGTAAAAAGTACTTGGCTTCTTTTCAATGACATTAGTCACTTCAGTAACCACAGCTTCTTGGTTAAGCTTTACAATATTTTCTTCTTCTTCTTCTTCTTCTTCTTCTTCTTCTTCTTCTTCTTCTTCTTCTTCTTCTTCTTCTTCTTCTTCTTCTT